AAACTCAATATTTAGCAGTGGTATGTACTTGTGTTTGTTGTTTATTGGTTGTATTGAAGCCTTTGCTGGCTTTCCTGTTTGTGTGTTGTCTGTGTCTTCAACTCCGCTTTGCCGCTGTTTATTATTGCACACTCTGGCATCCTTTTGCTTTGCCATTCTGCGAGCTTTTTATTTGCTTTGCACTAAATATTATAATATCGCAATCGTGAAATTCAAACGCCCAATTATCTTTCACATTTAACATTTCTCCATTTCGCGTTCCGCATTTCAATTGTTGTCACCCAAATATTTCGGGTTAATTATTTACTTTTATCGCTGCGAAATTAATTGACATTTGTACAAGTTCTTTTCGTGTTGCGCTTTTGATCTTCAAATTCAAAACACATTAAAATATAGCGGCAAATGAAAATTATTCTTGTTTTTTTTTTTTAGTTTTTGAGTGAACTAACTTCTGGGTTCCGCATTTAATTCGTGTTTTCGTGTTTTTTTTCCACAAATAGAAAGTAATTAAGTATACGTACTTGAATATGTAATGTAAAGTAATTAAAATCGACCCATTCAGGTTATGTTAAGCTTAGTGTAATTTCCAGAATTTTAAGTTCAGTGGTTCAAAATCATCGAATGTGTAGTTAAGCCTTAGAAGCTGTTTTTTAATTGAAACTTATTTCTCTAATAATTGGTAGATTCTCCAGGCTGTATTATATAATGTATATAATGGAAAATTCAAGATGACGCACTAAGGGCTTTTGCGTCGATTAGCGTATTGTGAGGAGTATATTTTCGCTCATATCTGTGATGTGACAATTTTATATTAGTCCCACTTGGACAGCTAGATACGCCTGTCTGTTGTAATGCCTGAACTCCTTGATATAATAAATAAAAAGACTGTCATATATCGTCAAAGCGCCTAGAGCCTTTCACAAATTTTTTGAGGCGGCTAATAACAAATCCAGCCAATTGGTCGGATTAGTAGAAAGAATGGTAAGCGAGATGCTTCAAACTTAGTTCGGCGAAAGCTGGACAGTGAAGAAGAAAGTGTGTAGATGTTTCCACCTCAACTTACTCCTTGCTATTTTAGAAAGTTGCGTCCTCCAAAATCTTTAGCCTCAACGCGTGAGTGCTAATTTGACAGTGTTCAGTTAGGACAATTATCAATTGCGGCGGTGTAAACCTTGCTAAGACCTATCAGTTCAATGGAAAATATGGAATTTGTTAGTAACTTTAACTTTGACCTTGAATAACTTTAAGTGAATAAGATAATCAAACATTTTCTGAAGACTTTTTTGTAGAGCGTCAAATTTCCTTAAAGAAAATAATTTGGTTCAACAATCCGTTAAACCGGACCAGAGTTGCAAAATTCCAAAATTAAAGAAACATTTTTTCCGTGTTATTTAAATGAAATACATCTTATGCATTATGGTACTAAAGCAAAAGAGAAATATTTTTGTTTTTAAAATTTTTTGAATTTGCACTTTGATCATAAGTAAAAATATATTTAGTGACAACTTATGTTTGTAATTCTAGTGCAAAACCATTTGCTCAGAATATTGAAATCTATTTTTCTCCCTTAAATACTTTGGAAATTTTCGCCCGAAATCGATCATGTCAGAGGGTGTAGCTATAATGAATGCATTTTGATTGTCAATTTGACAGGCAAGTACTTTACATTACAAATATATTTATACATATGTATAGGAGAGTGATTGATTTGGCAAAATTTGACGAAATTCTATACTTTTTCGACTAGAAACGAGCACAATAATGCACAATGAGGTTGTTGACGTTTGGCACAAGCAAACCGTCAAAAGTGTGCCACACATCGAACTGCTAATTCATACATACATACATATGTACATACACAAGAGCAAATATGTTTATAAAGCATTTTACACACATGTAATTGCATGCACACACACATATATATATATATGTATACACTCATATGAAAATAATTTCTAATTCCTCCAATTCACTTAATTCAATTTGAGGTATTTGTTTATTTGAATTTGTTGCCGAAAGGCACGCATATCGATTTTCGACCTCGAAACGTTACTTAGAATTCGATTGTGAAAAGGTTCGTCAAAAGACCGTTATGGTTGCTGCCGAAAAGGGTGAGTCACCAGCGCCGAACATTAGTAGGGGTGCAACGGGGTCGCCACCACCACCACCAACGCACGGACTCGTCAGCAATAGCAACAACAAAAATAAAAACAATCGACGTGGCATCCAAAAGCCACCTTTTACTTTTCAATAACGAAAGTGCTGCCGCTGCTGAGGGTGGACGACCAACAAACAACTGGTGCGGCGACGCCACCGCATAAGTCTAGTTCTACAAGTACAAGTCGCGCCTTTTCCAACAAATTGCAGTCATACAATTCGCTGCAGCCTGCAAAGTCAACCCCATGCAACTAAATTTAGACCAATAATAGCAACAACACAACAAAACCAACAATTTAGACTGTCTGCGTGCGTGGCATATGAATATTAATTTCATGGAATTATGAAGAGGGGGAGAGAAGCTAACAAGTCATGTCTTAAACTACCAGCATAAACACACACATGCGCCTATATAAGAAAGGCGAAACTTCCATGTGCAGCCTTGAACGCTGGTGCCTTATGGCGTTCCGCTTTTTCTCGCAATGCGCATGCGTGTGTGTCACTTTGCCAGTCGGCTAGCCAGCAAGTCCACCAGCTAGGCAATGTGCTTTGGCGCAGTCGTGCGTGGTTGTGCCGGCATGACCATCTGGTGGAACCGTTAAAAAGTTATGGCGGCGTTACTCAATACGCTACAGCCACACACTCACATAAAGACCCATACTTACACACAAATTTAATTTAATGCTGATTAATTTCAAGGATAATATTTGATACAAATTACTAAGTGGCTTACGAAATGGCTGCAACGGTCGCAACGCTCGTTCTTACTCGTTAAAGGAGCGTCGCCAAGAACAAGCTGTCCGCAGAAAGAAGTGTGCTGGAAATGGCTTTGCGGCCAATATTTCAATACACTTAATTCAATAATTTACGAGTACTCACATATGCACATACATATACTCGTATACTTAATAGATGAGTTCCGATGCCTCACCAGTGCGTAGCGCACTTTTATTGAATCTTTGGCCGAGCAATTAGTGGCGTCTCCAATATTCGTTGATAAAATATGCGAAAACAAAATGAAATACTGGCAGTGGCGATGTGTCTTCCACTTCATTCATCATCGTGAGCGAGGAAGCACAAGTGTTCAACAGCAGCAGCAGCAACACCACAACACCAACAGCATCAGAAGCTGTGTACATGTGTACTACTCTTCTGGCAATTGCCTTTATTTTTATACCAGAGTGCCATTATCTTTAATGGAGTATAACAGTTTTGTTTCAAATCGTTCCTGTACTTTCGATAAGATTTTATTTCTCTCTTATACCAATATAATGTAACTCTCCTGTTCGATTAAGGTCATTCCCTTAAGAGGAACCCTGAAATTAATATTAACTAGGTCTGTTTCCTATCTAATATATTCAAAAATTAATATGATCCATTTTCCTGTTTCTCGAACAATTTGTTTAAGTCCATAAAAGTAATACTCCTCATTATTAGCAGGTGTTATATCGTGAACTTGAAACTCAACGATTACCATTTCATCTTCGTTTCATCAGTTCAGAGTACCATCATATAATAAGTAGCTATTGATTTTGGACGAAATCGGTCGAGAAACAGAGTTCGTTCGAGAAACAGAGTTCGTTCGAGAAACAGAGTTCGTTC